ATATAGATTATATTCCTTAGGGGATACTAATAGTATCTTTAAAACAAATACAATTTTATTTTCACTATAGTAACTAGCGATGTCGGATATATTTAGTAACAAGTAAATATTTTCCAAAGATAAACTAACAGGGAATTGCCTAGAACTTGGTAAAAAATCGATAGTTTTGTACTAATGTGTCGAATTACTTTTGGTGTGTAATGATAGATGGATGTAATATATTTGATTTACTGAACATAATGGCGTCGACAATGTCTTCGAGTTTAAAAGATAATGTTAATAAAATACCTTCTAAGATATTTAATATTTGATTTAACCTAGATCTTATCAATAAATTGTCTGTAATCATAGTGACATTTTGCAGACTATGGGATAAATTTTCCAGAGCAATATCTAATTGTTGCTCATTTATAGTAATTTTATTTATTGTCTTTTTAAAAGACGACAGAGTCGAGGTTGTTATCAAAATATTTTCTTTTATTAAATTAGATAATCTAGTTTGGTCATTTTCTACATTTTGAATTGCATCGCTGTATCTAATGGCGTCGTCTTCATTCATTGTACCAAAGAGGTGTTTGAATACGGTTCCGATTCCGGAAAACCACGGAGATCGCCGTGAACGACTGTCTATTAAGTGAGAAATTGACTCAAAATTACGTACTATTTCATAGTAGCGAATAGATAATGGTTGCAACATATTATGACACTCGACTTCATTAAAAATATTACTGCGTCTGCATAAGTGTCGGGAGGTTCCTATCACACCGTTTAGATTATCGAAATGGGGTTTAATAAATGAAATATCATTCGGAATAACTACACTAAGATGACCATCTATTATTTTTAAAGAACCGATGGGGTCGAAATAAATTCCAGGACTATTTGCTGTTGACTGGAAGAATTGCTCTTGTGCCCAGGTCAGGCTACTGTAATAAAATTATAGAGTTAATGAATTTTACTATTTCGTATACAAAAAAAAAGGAGTTATAAGTAACTTATCCGTATATATAATTTTTATTATTATGAATCAATCGCGGCGCCGAGCAAGTTTCACTTCATCATAGTGGTGAGTGACGTGGCGTCTGTTTATAAGTAATGTAAGGGTATTTCTACCATTTACCTTTATTACTTTATAGGGTCCTTTCCAAATCGGTGACAGGGCCGTAATCTTAGGTGGTTTTTGAGGAAGACAAAGTCTCCGACTTGATATTTCATTGAGCGCGAACGCGAGTCGTAATAAGTTTTGGACACTTCCTTCGACCTATTTATATTTTTTGAGGCGGTGTTGTAACATTTTAACATAGTCCGGGTAAGTGACGTCGGAAGCAGTTTCATACACGGAATTTGGAATATAGGGTTTGTGCCCGAATACTAATTCGTAGGGTGAATATTTAGTTGTAGTATGTATAGCTGTGTTATACGCTAACATCGCTGTATAAACGTATCACGGCCAGTTATCTTGGCTTTCACAAACATAGGATTTCAGGTATTCTTTTAACGTGGAATGACTGCGCTCAAGTGCACCTTGAGTTTGGGGGTGGTAAGGAGACGACCACAGCTGTTTTATTTTTAAGAAGTTACAGGTTTGTTTGAATAATTCAGCTGTAAAGTTGGTACCTTGATCTGTGAGGATAGTTTTAGGGATTCCAAATAAGGATATAAAGTGAATCAGACACTCACTTGTTTCTTCGGCGGTGGTGTTTCTAATTGGGTAAGCTATTGAGTACTTTGTTAAATCATCTTGGAGAGTTAATATGTATTTTAACTTAGCAGGTCCGGACTCTGAGAGAGGTCCGACTATGTCTAGGGACAATCTTTCAAAGGGAGTTGTGGAGGAACTTGTTATTTGCATAGGGGCTCTATTTATTTTGCGTAAAGCTTTATTAGTTTGGCAAGGTGAGCAGTCCTTTACATATCTCTCAATGTCACTACGCATATTCTTCCAATAATATTGTTCACGAATTTTATTGAACATACGATTTGAGCCGAGGTGTCCCGCTACAGGGATGTCGTGATTCTCTTTCAGAATCTTTTGGACTTTTGGACTAGGACTAGAATAGTAAATTTTATTTCTATAAATGTGAATTTCTATTTTTGTATTATGAAATAAGTATGCTAGCATATTATAGATTTTGACATAGGCATGTCTATTCAAACGGGTTTCGAAAATCTGTTAGGCTTATTTTCTTAACAGACTCGTTACTCAGGACTAAATGGTTTCTCAAACACTTCAGGGATTCAAATATTTCATTATAACTACAGTCATCAAAGTGGTGTACTTTTAAAAATAAGAAATAATGTTGTTTTGTGTTGTGTAAAAACGATTTGAATGAATGTAATGTTTTTTCGGATTGGATGAATGACTGAGACTCGGGAAAATTTTATAGGATTTCTTCGACATAGGGCATTGATTCGTCGAGGTCAATGGATGTAGGTATTATAAGCATACTATGGGGGCTTTTTAATATGCTGTCATTATGTTCGATAATTTGGGTATCATATTGCAGGTTTGGAGAGTTCTTTAAGAATTGGGAATATGAGTCGGTTATTGGAGTGATTTTTGGAATTGTTTCAGGATTTTCAACTACGGGATTTTGGTAGCTTGTGCTAGGTTGAATTTCGTTAGATTTTGTTTCAAGTAATGTAGGGGTTAGTGTTGGATTGTCAAGTAGATACTGTGGATCTGAGTACGCCGGAGATGGCATGTTCAAAGGTGTGAAGTCTACATCTTCATTGTTAAATGGACTAAAGTTCAAAGGACCGAGGTCTATAAGTTCGTTACCAGGCTTTTCGGTAGTTATAGGATTTACAGGATTTATAGTATTGATTGGACTTTCGTTACGGATAGGGTAGCGTGAGAGTGCGTCGGCTGCAGAATTAAGTTTTCCTTTTCGGTATATGATTTCGTACTCATATCCCTCGAGTTGTAAGCGCCAACGTTGCATCTTACTGCTGGGGTCAGTATGATTAAATAACCATTTTAAAGGACGATGGTCGGTAACGATAAAGAATTTTCTACCGAATAAGTATGGCCTGAATGTTTTACAGCCGTATACAATTGCTAAAAGTTCTTTTTCTGTAGTGCTATAGTTAACTTCATTTTTGTTAAGTGTTCGTGACGCGTAGGCTATAGGATGCTCTTTACCTACAGGACCTTGGGAGAGGATAGCGGATATTGCGTAGTTTGACGCATCGCAGGTGAGCGTAAACGATTTTGTGAAGTCGGGGTAGATTAAGACCGGTGCAGTTATTAATTTATCTTTAAGGTTTTCGAAGGCGAATTGTTGTTCGTTGGACCAGATAAATGGGCTTTCCTTTTTCAAGAGGGATGTAAGAGGTTTAGAAAGTTTAGAAAATTCAGGGATGAAACGCATGTAGTATGATATAAGGCCTAAAAAGGATTTTATATCTTTAGGGCATTTTGGTACAGGGAATTCTTGAACGGATTTAATTTTATTTGGGTCAGGTTTCACACCATTTTCGGTAATTACGTGACCTAGGTAACCAACTTCCTTCCTCAAAAATTCACACTTGTCGGGCTGCAACTTTAAGTGGAAAATACGGAGTTTATGGAAGACAGCGGAAAGGTTTTGGATGTGGGATTTAAGGTCATATGAATAAATAACGATATCGTCAAGATAGACGAAACATCGTTCTCCTTGCAGGCCGGTGAGGACGTTATTCATAAGCCGCTGAAAAGTAGATGGCGCGTTTTTCATGCCTAAAGGCATCCTTTTAAATTCAAAATGTCCTTGGGGAACACTGAAAGCAGTTTTGCATGAATCTTGAGAGGCCATTTTAATTTGATGGAAACCGAAAGCCAGATCGAGGGTTGAAAAGTACTTTGATTTGCCTAATTGGTCTAATATTTCGGTTATGTTCGGGATAGGATATGTTTCGCCAATAGTAATATCGTTTAACTTTCGATAATCGATGACTATCCGCCATTTCTTTTGTCCCGATGCATCGATTTTCTTTAGTACAATCCATATGGGAGAGGACCAGGGAGAGATAGAGGGTTGGATGATGTCTTGATCGAGCATTTTTTGAATTTGGTTTTGGACTTCTTGTTTATGAATTTCAGGAAATCGGTAGGATTTTACATTTATAGGTTGGTCAGAGGTTGTTCGGATTTCGTGTTGGAGAGCATCAGTAAAGGTAAGTTGATCATCAGGTAGGTGAAAAATGTCGGAAAATGCACTACATATATTGTACAGGGCTTCAGATTCTTCATGATTCAAATGAGACGTGCGTAGTAGGTTAAGCACTTCTTGAGTTCGTTTTAGGCATGTTTGATTGGATTGAGGCACATGGAGTACGTCGTAATGTAATGGATATAAGGTAAGATTAAGATTTGAATTTAACGAGACATTGTTTTCAGAGATGTTAAGAACAGTGATGTTGACTCTATTATTATTCTTTACATTTACTAAACAATTAGCAACCAATAGGTTTTCGTTTATGTGTTGGTCCAAAATAAGCCCATTTTTTAGTTCTGGGTTTTTAATTGAACACTCTACAATCATTTCGGAGCGAGGAGGTATATTATAAACAGGTTCTGTAAAGTTAAGTTTAAGTTTATTTCGGTTTAAATTGAATACATTGCGATTATAATCAATATTACACTGATAATGGGTAAGTAAATTATTTCCAATAATGCCATCATAGGTGAGATTGATTTCTTCAACGACATGAAATGTAAAGGCGACGGTCTCTTTGCCGAAAAGAAGATCGAGTTCGAAATTACCTAAGGTAGGAACGGCATCTTTACTGTTATCTATTCCTTTTAATTTAATTGTATCCTTTTTTAGTTTCAGGTTCAGGTGCGACTGAATGGATGATTGTTTAATAAGGCAGATTGAGGATCCAGTGTCTACAACAAAGGTAAGTGGATTTTCAGATAAACTAGTTTTTATTATTACATGAGGTAATGATTTTTTTATTTGGATTACACGTAATCTCGTAAATTACATCATCTTTTGGAATAGGGTGTAGATTTAAGTTTTCATTATTTTCAGGATGTATTCGGCGATGCTCTGACATATGTGTACTTTTATGAATTGTTTTGGAAATAGGAATAAGATTACGAACACTTGCTTGGGGCTGGTTACCCGTGTGGTTCTGTGGATTCGAGACATAAACGTTTGCTTGGGGCTGGTTATCCTTGTGGTCCTGGGATATTGAAGAATGGACACTTGCTTGGGGCTGGTTACCCTTGTGGTCCTGGGATATTGAAGAATGGACACTTGCTTGGGGCTGGTTACCCTTGTGGTCCTGGGATATTGAAGAATAGACACTTGCTTGGGGCTGGTTACCCTTGTGGTCCTGGGATATTGAAGAATGGACACTTGCTTGGGGCTGGTTACCCTTGTGGTCCTGGGATATATGATGAAATGGTTTCGTGTATAGTTGGCTTTGTACATGGTTTGGTATGGTGTCATTGTGTTCAATTTGTTTGATAGAGAGTAGAGACTTGGGTCTCACGAGACACCACCGTGAGCCCACTAATCGTTTAAATTTCCGCTATCTAGATTTTGCTGATCTGCGTCGCTATTTTCGGTATCAATGTTGTATTGATTTTCGTCATAAGAAGTACTAGGTTGTGGTTGAGAGTAATCACGATCATAATTAGTTTCCACGAAGTTTACGCGTGCTGGCTGTGTTCGCGGATATCTTTGATGATTATTATCGCGACTGTAATTAAAACGATTAGGTTGAGACTGAGTTGCATTAAACCGATTATTGTTATATTCGCGTTTTTCTACACACTTCTATGGTGTGTCCTTGATTTTTGCAATAGCGACAAAATGCATTGTTTTGCATATGTATTTGGGGTTTAACATTGACATTGTGTATCGCCGGTCTGAATAAGTGATTAGATCGTTGCATATGACGCGGTGACATTGGAGTATGACTGGGTAAGTTACGTTTATACAACATTTGTTGTATCTTTTCTTCGGATACTGCTAAATTTAAGGCTTCATTCAGTTGATTAGGATTCTTACCACGGACTAAGTTGGAAATGTTCGGTTTAAGACCAAGTAAAAACGTATGGAGAGCGAGGTCCTCCATTGAAGCTATACGACCTTGTAGTTCAGACTTCTTCTTGTTCGACAATGTAATTTCTGTAAGTAACTTTGACAGGCAAGTTCCCAAACGCAACGCATATGTTGTAACTGATTCATTAGGTAATTGACGGCACTCTTGTAAATCGGTTAGTAAATGTGTATAGTGTTTCTTTTCGCCAAACTGTGTAAGAAGGAAGTCGCTAAGTTGCGCCCACGAATCGTATTCTTTAATTGAAACAGCAGCGTTAGCTCTTCCTCGTAATTGAGAAAGAAGAAATCGACTGTTTTTAAATACAACAGTCGATTTCTGTGAATCCGTTGCTAAATACATGGCATTATCGCAGTTTGTTATAAATGAATTTAATTCTTCGCGAGAGCCAACAAAAGTATTTATGAATTGAATTAGTTCTCCGGCTCGCATTGGTTCCCCTTTTTCGGCTTTAATAGTAGAATCTTTATTTGCCATTTTTAATTATGTTATTATATAAAATACGAAATTTAAATGATATTGGAATGTTACGGTGTAATAGGCGGCCAACCGAGTAACTTAATATGAGCTACTGATAAGCGCAGGTGCAGTGGCGAAGACGCTCTTCCTATGAATTATTCGTTAAGTATAATGTTATAATTCGAGAATGGTAATTGAAATGGTAATATGCGTAAGGAATTATATACTTATTATTACATTAAGTACATGAAAAGTTTTTAATTATTGTTCATAGAAGTATTATAATTATTTTGAACACAACACTTTGATAACGAGGCACGGCTTTGTAGTATCACTGAAATTCGGAGAAGTTTTTAGCACTTACAGGATCGCGACGAAGTAGAGATGCAGGAGCATATTCTTGATAAGATTAGCGCTCTTTATTCGGTCACGAAGACTTGTAGGCGCTTCGGAACAGGCTGGATTTGTATATTTCACAGGAACAGGATTTTGAGGATGAGATGATTTATATTTTGCGAAGATTATTTATCTCACCCGAGTTCGACACTAATTTAGGTACAGACGTTTACTAACACTTGCACTTCACTTGTCTTATTTTCCACTGATCGCATATTGGAGACGGACCGAGGACCAGTAGTATGATCCCACCGCTGCCACCAAATTTGTTATGCGGTTTTCGGAATTTAGGTTTTAAAAAAAGTTTAAATCACAAAATGTGTATATTTCTTATTAAAACATTTTGAAATATAATAGATCAGAATGAAATTCGAATGTCGGGCAAGTGTTACCGCTTTGGATGCTTGTGACGAACTAACTCTTCAATGCAGGGGGCATCTAGTGCTTACAAATATGCTGACAAGGGTTGGATTAGGTAGCAGGCTAGGTCAGGTCTATTATATACAGGGAGCATATATAACAGTATGCATATGATTAGGACTAGCAAATGTTGTATGATTCAGCGCAATACAATTCTTACAACAATATTCTTTTAAAGAGAAATTTCATAAAATGTAGGTGCTTAGGCTCTAATATGTTATTATTTCTAATTATCTTATCCTAGAGTACTAATGGAAATCTAAAAAAAATGCGAAAAATCAAATAGTGTAGGGATAGTAACAGCATACGGCAACATCTGTCTGTGTTCCATGCAAAGTCAGCATGGCCTCTTACCATCGGGTGGGTGGGCAGTCAAGTGCTGGCCAGTTTTGAATTAATAAAAATGCAACTTCTGCCGTTACACATATGGGCAGGTTCATTCATTGAAGTACCACGGACTCGCAGAAGACCATCCGAGAAGTGAGAGTATTACACTTTCGTGTTTCGTCTGGTCAACGAAATAATCGGGGCCCACATTTTATAGGTTGTCAGGTTGTCAATGCATCAGCAAGTCCAGGTGATGTGGATGTAGAGAGGCTGCGGTGCTCACTCAACTTAAGGTGCAACACCTGCTGAGTTGATGACTTTTCACATAAAAAAAGAAAAGATATTCGTGATATCGATATCTTGGCGCGTAATAGATGACCACTAATTAAAACGACAAAAAAGGTTATTCAGGAACTTCATCAGAAACAGCACTAAAGTATTAAAGATAGGAAACAGGAAATATGTCGTAATATTTCGTATAATCGAAGGTCTTGCATATTAGAATGTTGTCACAAAATCTGAGGAGTCCAGTTCATATCTTGTTTTGATATGTTTGTTTATGTTGTGTTCATATATTGTGTGACTAAATAAGCTTGTTGAATTAATGGCATTAATATTTCACCTTATAGAGCTTAAGAGTCGCTAGATCTTGTAAACAAATATTCCTCTTTTATATTACGGTGTGTTTTAACACACAAAAACTCACTGTGGCGATACGACGGTGTGTGACAGCGATCTCACTGGCGCAACTATTTCGTACTGGCGGTAGTCGGCCCCCCGATTCAGAACTGGAAGGTACTGTTTTCAGCGCTCAGCGGGCGTAATATACTCGAACGTATTTTTATCTCGCAGACTCTAGTCTAGCAATCAAATTAGATCCGTTCATTCCATTCATTCTAGAAATGCTTTCATTCTGAAATGACGTACTCATAGTTTATCTCATAATTTAATGACTACCTAATTTAGTTTTTCTGTTTTCAACGAATTCTTTTGACTTGATTAGGTTACATGTATTTTTATCACTTAATTCTTTATCGAAATCTGACCGTCTAATAACAATTAACGAGCTTTGGGATTTTCAAAATATCTCATATAGCCATATATAATATAGATATTGAAACAAATCTATAAAGATAGAGAAAGATTTCTTTAATCAAAACCTAAATTCCGGAGACATGAAACTATATAAACAAGTTTGGCGCTATTGTAAGCCACCATACCAGTCGAATGGGTTATTCATAGTAAATTGGTCCATAAGTCCGAGAATAATTGTATACTGTATAATATAATTTTTTGAGGAATAAAATGACAAAAAAGGATGCCTACAGAATTTCTTTCGCCTATATCTAGACGATGGTTATAGGCCCTTTACAGGACCCGTTTGATTACTTGCCGTGTGGTGTCGGCGTAAGAATAAGCCACCCCATCTCATCCCGTGGGTGTTGTAAGAGGTGACTAAGGGATAAGCCACAAACATCCAGTGGCCTCCGATAGATGGCGGGATAACCATCTTAACTCTCCAGACCCAAATATCCAGGCCAATAACGGGCAGCAGCGTTGAAGGTGCGAGGTGTCTGGAAGAACTGCGGTTACCAACCCGCTCGCCAAGCGTGGCAACTATGGCAAAAAACCCCTCATGTATGGAAGTCCAAGGTGTACGGCCCCCAGTCCCCGGCGGCCCTGCTATTCCTGGCTACGGTAGCGGTCATGGTAACGGCAGGGCAGGGGGTGCTAAGAATCCCCGGCTAGGATTCGGCTACCAACAACGGCGACTGGACCTGGCAACATACAACGCAAGAACATTGAGGACTGACGAGAAGATTACAGAGCTGGAAGAAGAGGTGAACAGGCTGCGCTGGGATATAATAGGATTATCTGAAGTCCGAAGACAGGGGGAGGACACGATAATCCTCGAATCCGGCAACCTGTTTTACCACCGGGAGGGCGACCAACTGTCCCAAGGAGGTGTCGGATTTATCGTCCACAAGTCTCTCATTAACAACGTTATTAAAATCGGGGGTGTGTCGTCGAGGGTTGCGTACCTTATACTCAGAATATCCAAACGGTATTCGCTGAAGGTCATACAGGTCTACGCACCAACGTCGACACATCCCGATGATGAGGTGGAGGCAATGTATGAGGATATATCACGAGCCATACATTCCTCCAAAACTCAATACATGGTGTTAATGGGAGACTTCAACGCAAAACTAGGCAAAAGGAAAGACGATGAGCTGAGAGTAGGAAGTTTTGGTATAGGGCAACGGAACCCAAGGGGGCAGCAGCTGGCTGACTTTATGGAGAAGGAGGGACTCTTTATGATGAACTCTTTCTTCAAAAAGCAGCCCCACAGGAAGTGGACCTGGATTAGCCCCGATGGTTCTGTAAAAAACGAGATAGACTTCATTATGACGAACAAACGGCAAATATTCAATGATGTCTCTGTGATCACAAGGGTGAAGACCGGCAGTGATCACCGATTGGTGAGAGGCACATTGAATATTAATATCAGGCTGGAAAGATCTCGTCTAATGAAGTCCACACTCCGACCATCTCGTGCCCATATCCAGAACTCCGAAAGCTTTCGGCTCGAGCTACATAATCGCTTCCAATGCCTAGAAAATTGCAGCACTGTGGACGATATTAACGCTAAGCTCGTGGAAACTGTCCATGCCGTGGACCTTAAATTTTATAAGGCCCGCCGCACAAATAGAATG